AAGATATCAACATGAAATGAACAAACCTAAGAGAGGTCTACCCAAGTTACATATACACCAAGTATCAAAGCATTCAGGCTTGTAGTTTTCAAGAAGAAGTCGAAAAAGTAAAACATTGACACGGACGACGACGGACAATCACTCATATGATAAGCTCCGCTCGACAAAGTCGACAGCGGAGCTAAAAAAGGTAAGTGCACACAGCCACCAACTTGCCAAAGATCATCCAAATGAAGCGCATGCATATGTATCTTCCCTTATATCTCAAATCAGTCACATCCAAGATATGGGTGGTGCATTAAAATAAAACCAACATGGCTGACAGATTCAGGACCATTTTGATCACAAAACAAACTGACAAGTATAATTAACTCATGTGTGAAACAAACCAAATTACAAAGCCTGAAATCTGAAAATGTAAAATACAGAGTAAAGATGGGAAAAAAAAGTGTAATTTTGTGTTGAAACTCGTACATGTGACATTATATCAGACAAACACAAATACAGATAAATAGATGCCAAGATAGGTTTCATTTAGTAAGCATGAATGAGAAAACACACAATTTAAATGTTTATTTGCAGTATTTATATGTACTTACAATATCAAAAACAATCTTGCATAGACACAGTTCGTTTTTTCCACAAACCTGTTAATTTACACAAGTTTCTTGAAATGTAGATTTGTCTTGCAATTTTGGGATAATCTTGCAGTTGAAAAATGCACTAAACTGCTTCAAATGTTTTCTCTTGATCCAATAATCTGTGGTAATTTAAAAAAATAACAGTTCAATTAATTAACAAAAAAGAAAATATGATTTAAGCTTTCAGAATTATCAATGCTTATTCAGTAGAACCATCTAAATTTTGGGAAATTATTAATTATTGAAAGAATTGGATAAAATATGCCAAATTAAACAAAGTGACCCAGTGGAATCCAAAAACATACTTCACAAAGTTGTTAGACAAAAATTCCTCCTGTGAAACATTGAGCAATAACATTGCATACACTCATCTTAAATCTTTGATATATATTATAATTATATAAATGGTCCCCTCAACAGGAGCCTGACCATCTTTTCTATGCCAATACATGGATGGGGCGTAACAACTATGCCCCAGTACAGGACCTTACCCATGTTCAGAATACTAGAAATTATAGAATTATACCAGTTTTGTAATGTAAAACAAGCATATGTCATTAAATTTAATTTGGCTAGATTTGAACATCCAGTTAAGAAAACATCTAGTTACAAAAATGACCACACCCATATTTCAGAAACCATGCCCGCTTTTGCAAAACCATGCTTAAATTGTAAACTGACAGCTAACCGAACTTCAAGTCACCGGCAACATATGATTTTTGTTTTATTTAACATTGTTTATTTCCCATTAACTGATAATGAAAATTCAAGTTACTAAATTTGAACATTAAACAAAACAGTTGCCTGTAACTTGAAGTTCGGTTAACTGTTATTTGAAGTTTGAGTTACTAAATGTGCACAAAAATAAAAATATATGTTGCCCATAGCTCGAAGTTCTGTTAATTGTTAATTAGACAAAGAGTTACAATTTGTGCATGATTTTGCAAAAGTGGGCGTGGTCATTTATGTTGACTCGATGTTTTTGTAACTCAGTGTTCGCAACTCGATGTCCGTAACTCGAACAATTCAGCTTCTCGGCTTAGTTGGGTTTTATCTGCATTCGATGTTTTAGGACATACATTTCCATGCATACCACGGTAAAATGCACTACTGCATGATACATAGACGGCGAGTGTTGTTGATTTCAGTCACGGTGACACAGTAGCTGCAGT